GGGTTTGCGTCATGTCTAGGGAGGCTGGTTTATTTATGTTGTTTGGCTTTTTCTGACTTTATTCGTGTCTGAGGAAAGCTGGGCTTCAGTTTGGGGGCGCCCTGTACCTGCGCGCCACTGTGTGCAATCTTGTGTCTGTCCAAGGTTGAGGAGTGGAGATTGAGAATAACCCATGCTCCTCTGAAACTTACAAGTCCTGAAGTTTCTAGGGAGTGAGAGTCCGCCCCCACCTCACCCTGCTGCGTAGGGCTGGCCATTGCTGAGGTAAAGCTTCGGGCGCTCACCTGTGTGCATTGCTGGCAGTTTCTCGCTGAGGAGATTGTTCCGTGCGAGGCGCTTCAACGCTGTCCTGTTAAACACCGATCCCAGGCTGTCTTAGAATTTCTGTTGCTATGACAGAACGCCACACCCATAAACAGCGTGGGGAGGAAAGGCTTCTGTCATCTTTCAGCTTCTAGTCCATCATCGGGGAAGTCAGGGCAGGAGCCTGGAGGCAGGAGCCAAAGGCCATGGAGGGGTGCTGTGTACCCGCTTCCTCAGCTTTCTAACAGCACCAGGACCACCAGCCCAGGGATGGCCATCGTCAACTGAACTCTCCCTCCTCAGTGACCAATCAAGACAAATGGTAGACAGGCTTGCCTACAGGCCCATCTGCTGGGGCATTTTCTCAGCTGAGCTTCTCTCTTTCCAAATGACTCTAGCTTATGTCCAGTTGACATGAAGCCAGGTCACAGCTGCCACGTCCTCCTCCTCCTCCAACATATTATTCTGTGACAGGGTCTCGTTAAATTGCCAAGTTGTCCTTGAACTTTCTGACAGTCTGTGCCACTAGGCCTGACATTGATAGAAGCTTTAATGTTTGGGGATGTCACTGTCTGTGGAGAGAACACTGAAACACACATTTTGTCTAATGTGGCTCTGTGAACATATCCACAGAACATGGGAGAGCAAAGCTTCTTTAATATGTATATATTAATGGCAAAACCATAAAGCTTCTTTTATACTCATTACTTAAATATCGACCGCAAACCTCATCAAGCTTCGCCTGGGATGCGGCCATGGCACAGATGAGACTTTGTCTTAAAGAGATTAAGCAACTTAAGTTGTAATTGGAAATTTCATGTGTGCGTCTTTTCCCTTGTACAGAATGACGAAAGTCTAAGGTCACTGAAATATTTCCCTTAGTGTTTTCTTTGTGTTGTGGAAGTCTCGTCAGACCTATTCCACACCCTTAGGAGTAGTGTCTACTATCAGCTCTCGGCCCTGCTGGGCTCCGGACTCAGGCTCTTTCAGGAGCCTGTTTTGTGGTCGGCGATCTGATGTTTTCAGTAAAACTTCTGCTGCCTCCATTTTATTGTTGCTGTTCTTTTTTTCTTGTTTTTTCAAGACAGGATTTTTCTGTGCAGCTCTGACTGTCCTGGAACTCACTGTGTAGAGCGGGTGGCCTCCAACTCAAAGATTTACCTTGCCCCTGGCCCCCAAGTGCTGGGGTTAAAAGCATATGAGCCCACTGCTCAGCTCTCGGTGTGTGTGTTTGTGTGAGATTTCCCACATAAGCTTTTGGTTTTTTACTCCGGTTTTCCTCTGAAACGATGTCTTCCTTCCTGTCTGCGAGGCCAGGGTTATGGGACCCTTGCTCTGCTGATGTGATGGTTGTTGCAGTGTCTTGCTATCTGGAAGACAGCTGCGAGCCTCGTTAGTGCCTGGCTCACGGGTGGCCCAGCAGGACCTTCTGAGGGAGGAGGCTGCTTGCACGCCCACAGAGCAGCTGACTCCCTCAGAATCCGAGGACGGCCTTTCTTTCCATGAGGGTGTTGCAGCAGCCACGCTGGCTAACTGTTCAAAACACCTTCCTGCTGGGTTATCACGTGTGAACACATGTGCCCTTCAGAGCTTCTGGGCTCTGGAAGCGTTCCAGTGTTTTCCAGATCTAGTTGGCTCACACACAGGTCACTGTTTTCATCCACTTATTTCACCAGCGGAAACAACTGTAAACAGCTGTGCGATTAGAAGACACACACGTATGTAATAATGCTCCCTCTAATTCAGACCTATAAAGATGCCAAGGTCGTAACTACTCACTCAATTCTGTATTAAAATACCTTCAAAAAGATTTCCTCAGTTTATGCGTCGGGGTGTGTTTGCCTGCACGTGTGTGTCTACGTGATGGGTAGGCCTGGTGCCTGAGGAGGTCAGGAAGACTGTGCAGGCCCCTGGAGTGGGAGTTATGGATGGTTGCGAGGCACCTGTGGGTTCTGGGAGCTGAACCCAGGGTCCCAGGAAGAGCAGCCAGTGCTCTCGCCTGCTCAGCGTCTCTCCCGGCCTCGTGATGCCCAGCTGCAGCCGCTCACAGTAACTCCTGCTTTTGGGTGTTATTGTGAATTCCGGCCTTTCACAAACTAATCACAGCAGACACACTTGGCGGCTACTCTCCAGGCCGCTATCCCAACCTTCTTGCTTGTGGTTATTTGGGTGTCTGTCCTTGTTCTGCGTTCTGGCTGATTCCTGACGAGGCTGGAGGAATCGTGTTTCTGTTTTCTCCTTTCCCTTTGAAGGTTTCAGTCTGAGCCCTCGGTTTTGGCTAAAAAACGATCTGTGAACACTGTCAGCACAAATGGAGCTGAGATGCTCCCAGCACCCCGAGGAGGCCGGAATGTTTGCTTGCCACCGGAAGCTTTGAAGACTGCTGAACGGTGGCCTTCCCGCTTGGGTCCCTGTCACCAACGCCGCCTTCCCCAGAGTGAGGGTTTGAGATAACTCACGCAGCCTCTTCGCTCTGTCTTTGAAAGCCCCTGTCTTACAGACGTGCTGTTCCATAGCTTGTCCCCGAGGCTCTGCCTCCGGTTCCCTGCGTGTGGGGACAAAGTCCAACAGACGCAGTTCATAAGGCCAACGCGCATGTAATCTTGGCAGAAGGTAAGGAATCCCCTGTCATGGGCTGGAGAGATGGCCCTTACTTTGGTCCTGGTTTGGTACCCAGGACTTACATGACGACTCACAACCATTCATCAACTCCGGCTCCGGGAATCCGACCCCATCTCACCTCTGTGAGCACGAGACAAAGCACTCACACGCAAGAGAGCACAATTGCCTGCTGCTCACAGAGTGAGCTGGGGTCGGATTCCTGGAACTGGAGTTAACGCTTTCGAGTCACCATGCAGGCCCGGGAACCAAGCCAGGTCCCCTGCCACAGAGTAAGGGCCATCTCTCCAGCCCATGACAAGGGGTTTCTTACCTTCTGCCAAGATTACACGTGTGTTTGCCTTATGAACTGCCTCTGTGGGACTCTGTGCCATTGCCATATTTACCTGTGAGAGGTGAAGTGAGTCCGAGAGTTATTGCTCTAAGCAAAACACAGTTACAAGAGATTGCTAGAACCTTGGATACCTGTTTATAGGGTGGGTAGATTATTACAGCTCAACAAGAGCGACCTCAAACAAGGGAGGGCTTTGTGCGCTGACGTGAAATGATTTCCTGATCTGTGTTAAATGTGTGTGTGTGTGGGAAAGCCCAAAATGCAGAGCAGAGAGTGTGAGACAGGCCTGGTGTGGTAGGCGGCTGTTCTCACCCGAGAGGAGCGTTTACTGAGCCACACGGACCCCGCTGCGGGTTACAAGCACTCGTGGCCACCACGAGCTGGGTGGGCAGGGGAAAGGTAAAACCCACAAGTTTGGCACCTCTCGTCGAAAAGCTGTGATGGCCATTAGCCAGCATGGAGGGGCATGAATTTCCAATAAGAACTGTGTCACCACTGTGTTTCCGTTTGATCAGGGAGCAGAAAGTGTTTACAGAACAATGCGCGTGAGCGGAGTTCCCGGATGTCCGAGCGTGACGAGGCTACGTTGGCCTCAGTTTTAACTACCCGGACTTAGGAAATTTGTGGTTCTCGTTTCTGTGGGAGGTAGCTGTCAGCTTGGGAGTGTGCGCAGGGCTGACAGCGGCGACGGCTACTGTCACCAACACATTTCCACTGACTTCGTTGGTTTCAGTCCATTTCTAACCCTCCCTGCCACAATGGCGCCAAAGGCTGCTCTGTTACTCCGTGTCAGCCACGCGTCTGAGAGTCAGAAGGAAGCTGTAAGTGTGGCCACACTGCAGGGGTCACAACGACAGATGAGCAGGTCTCTCCGGGATGTGGTCGAGGTCTGGCGGGATGTGGTCAAGGTCTGGCTGGGTGTGGTCGAGGTCCGGCTGGGTGTGGTCGAGGTCTGGCTGGATGTGGTCGAGGTCTGGCTGGATGTGGTCAAGGTCTGGCTGGGTATGCTCTAGCAGATGCTCCCTCGAGTAGGTGATACAGACACAGACAGCAGGCAGTGTGCACCTCTGCGGGTGGGGAAGGGGGAAGCTGCTTCTCTCTGCATGGTCGTGGGAGACACTTCCCTGAGAAGCCCGGCTCTCTTCAGGATTCGGAAGGGTGAATGGAGCTGACCCAGGGCACAAGTTTCTCCAGAAATAGATGGGGTGTGCGTGGTGGTTCTGGTACTCGGGGTTTCAGGGAACGAGTGGGGGAGGGAAGCAGCTTTGGCCCTGCCCTGCGGCCGAGAGATTGTCCTTGAGCATAGATGAGCCAACTCGTGACGTGGGGTGTGTGTGTGTGTGTGTGTGTGTGTGTGACAGAGAGCATGTGTGTTTGTGTGTGCAGGTGCGTGTGTCCGTGTGTGCGTGCATGTGTCTGTGTGCGCGTGTGTAGGTGTGTGGCGCTTCCTAACCATCAGGGCTTCCTTCCTTGGTCTAGTGTCAGTCCAGGTCTTCCTGCAGGACAGGGGATGGATGATTCTTCCCCCTCCTCCCCCTCCTCCCCTTGCCCTCTCTCACCCGCAGACCCTCAGGGCTCTGGCCTTTGGGGCTGGAGTTAGGCAAGTGCTGGGGAACCCTGCAAAGGCGGGGTTGACTGGCACTGTGCCAACCCTGCTCAACCCTGAACAGGGGTGAGGCCCTGGCTCTTATTTAGTGGCCCCAGCCCTCTTGACTCTCAGAAGGGAGAGAACTCCATCCGCAAGATGGGTGTCTACTGCATCCGCGTCTCCACCGGGGACTCCTTGTATGCGGGCTCCAACAACGAGGTCCACCTGTGGCTGGTGGGGCGGCACGGGGAGGCGTCGCTCGGGAAGCTGCTGCGACCCTGCCGGAACTCGGTGAGCTGCGGGCCGCCTGGGCAGGCCTCAAGCCGGAGGAATCCCGAGGAGCCCCGACGGGCCCCCCCCACCCCAACCCTAGCGCAGCGCGCACGGCCGCGGGAGGCGCGCACAGCCCCGGGAGGCGCGCACAGCCCCGGGGAGGCGCGCACAGCCCCGGGGAGGCGCGCACAGCCCAGGGGAGGCGCGCACAGCCCGGGAGGCGCGCACAGCCCCGGGAGGTGCGCACAGCCCGGGGAGGCGCGCACAGCCCCGGGAAACTGGCACACCCGCAGAGGCCAGCCCCGGGAGGCGCGCACAGCCCCGGGAGGCGCGCACAGCCCCGGGGAGGCGCGCACAGCCCCGGGAGGCGCGCACAGCCCCGGGAGGCGCGCACACCGCAGAGGCACGCACAGCCCCGGGAGGCGCGCACACCGCAGAGGCACGCACAGCCCCGGGAGGCGCGCACAGCCAGGCACCTGGAGAGCTCGGCTGCTGTTGCCGCCTGGCCTCGCAGAGTGGGGATTCCTGTGCGCCGTTCATTTCACAGAACTCTGCTGAACAGCGTCAGCAGCGCCAGCCGCCGACCTGTTTTTAAAAGATAGAATTTCCTATCTTCTTTGTAGACACGGGATCTCTGATCGTAGGGCGGAGGGCGTGAGGGGGAGACAGGAGGGAAGAAAGGTGGAGTCTGGATTTCTCCTCTCCTCTCCTCTCCCTCTCCCTCCCCTCCCCTTTCTTCCTTCCCCTCCCCTCCACTCTCTTCTTCTCCTTCTCTTCTCCCTTCTCTTCTTCTCCTTGCCTCGCCTCCCCTCCCCTCCCCTGCCCTGCCCTCCCTTCTCTTTCCTTTTTTCGTATAACTCTCAGATTCCCCCAGATCTTCAGATCTGTACATTGTCTTAGGGTTACTGCAAAGGAAGCCTGCTTCCCTGATAACCGCGAAGCCTCGGGCTTACAGTGGCCCTCAGGATCTGGTTCTCTGGGTCCTTGCCCTGGTGGCTCTAACTGGTCCTTTCAGCCTCTACTCTCTCCATGGGTTCTGCCCCGGGTCCCCTTTGACCTCACTCTCTCTCCCCAACCCCCTCCAAGGCCTCCAAGGTTTCTTCCTGGAGACCAAACCCTAGCCATCCTGGCTCAGGCTGAGTGGATTCCCCTGGGTCCTTTGCCTGGAGGCCGCTCCCACCTCATCTGTGTTCCTGTTGGGCTTCAGGCGGGGGTTTCCATCCTCCCTCCCCTCCCCCACAGCCCTCCCCAAGGGAGGATGAAGGGCGTGAAGGAGTGCCCCTCTCCATCTTCCATCTCCGACCCTCTCACTCTTGGCTGAGGCAAAGAATGTGTCATGGACCCCTCTTTCTGGCTTCCTTTTCGTTGCTTTGCCTGTGGCCCAGGTGAGGCAGAACTCAGCCTCAGCACCATCTTGTGCTCATCTGCAGGAGGCTGAGTTCAAGGTGCGTGTGTCAGAGTACCTTGGGTCGTTGCTGTTCGTGAAAGTGCAAAAGTGGCATTACCTCAAGGACGACGCCTGGTTCTGCAACTGGATTTCCGTGACGGGCCCCGGAGAGCAAGGAGCGGAGTACAGGTTCCCCTGCTACCGATGGGTGCAGGGCACCAGCGTCCTGACCCTCCCCGAGGGCACTGGTGAGCAGATGGTGGGGCCTGTGGAGATGGCGAGGGGGCGGAGCCTCAGGTGTGCGGGGAAGAGCTGTGCCAGCAGGGGCCTGGGGCCTGCTTTGTTTGTTTGTTTGAGCTGGCCCAGTGCTGAGGCTGGGGACTGGCTGAGGGACCCCTGGCAGGGACCTGGCAGGCTGTGGGCAGGCGTCCCAGAGTGTCCTGCTCCGCCTCTAGGCTGCACCGTGGTTGAGGACACTCAGGGCCTGTTCAGGAAGCACAGGGAGCAGGAGCTGGAAGAGCGGCGGCGGCTGTACAGGTGAGCCTGCCCGGCGCCCGGCGCCCAGCGAGCCGCATGGGGGGGGGCACCAGGGCCTGATGCCTTCTGCCCCGCAGGTGGGGCAGCTGGAAGGATGGCTTGCTCCTGCACGTGGCGGCGGCCAGTTTGTCCGAACTCCCCGCAGACCAGCGATTTCGAGAGGACAAAAGAATTGAGTTTGAAGCTTCGTCAGCTTTGGGGTAGGAGCGAGGGCACCGGTGGGGGAGGGGAAGGGGCGTTGGTCTAGTCTGTGGGGCCTTTGGCTGGACTGTTTGGTAGAACCGGCAAACCCTTTGCCCCATTCTTCCCCGAAGGACAATAGATACTCTTCTCAACTTTCCCCTGAACGCTGTGACCTGCTGGACGAGCCTAGATGACTTCAGCTCGGTGTTCAAGAGTGGTCACACCAAGCTGGCTGGTAGGTTCGCCTCTCCCCAAATTTCTCTTACCCCCAGCCCTTTCCAGTGTGAGGAGATTAGGACACTCTGTTGGGGATTCGGAGGCTCCTGTCTGCCCTCTCTGGTAGTCCGGGTCAGATAGGGATGGTTTGGTGGGTGTTGGAAGGACCAGGAAGTTGGATCTTAGACACACTCATTTCCCCCGCAGAGCGGGTTCGAGACTCGTGGAAGGAGGATGCTTTCTTTGGGTACCAGTTTCTCAATGGTGCAAACCCCATTCTCCTGAGGCGGTCCACCCGTCTTCCTTCCCGCCTGGTGTTCCCTCCCGGGATGGAGAAGCTACAGGCCCAGCTGGACGGGGAGCTCAAGGTATGGACAGTGAGCCCGGCAAGATCCTGCTACGGCCTTTCTACCTCAGAAGGGTGTGCGAGGAGGTGGGGCGGCGAGCAGGGACAAGCTGACCGCTCAGAGGTGGCCATGGGTCCGGAGAGGTGCAGGTAAGGGAATCCGGGTCAGGCGGGTTGCGTTAGTTAGGGCCTAGCGTGGGGAAGCGTTGGTTTGCATCTGTACCGTGGTGTTGCTGTGTGCGGCTTTAAGCCGGATGTCCAGCTTCTCGGATCTGTTTCTTTAGGGTAACAGGCCAATGGAAAACCACCCTGGCCCTGGCCTGTCCCTAACCCGGGACCTGGAGCCCCCCACCCCATTATTCAAGGCTAACTGCCGAGCAAAGCTTCTGGCTTCGCAACGCCAGGAGCCCAGTGTAGAGTGAGTGAGTGGACCGCTGTGGGTAGCGACCCTAGACAAGCCTGCCCTCCGCTCAGCCCGCCTCTGTCCGCCTCCGCCTAGGGATGGCTGCTGTGCTTCTCCTCTCTTGTGTGAGTTTGTTGTGTGGTGTGGCTCTGTGGTATTCCTTGGCTCCCAACTGCCGAGAGACCCCTGTGCCAGGAAAGCCTTTCAGCTTCCTCTCCTGGGATAAGGGGTCATTTCAATGAAGTCTATAAAAATGACCTGTGAGCCGGGCGTGGTGGCACATCCCTGTGATCCCAGCACTCAGGAGGCAGAGGCAGGCGGATCTCTGTGAGTTCAAGGCCAGCCTGGTCTACAAAGGGAGTCCAGGACAGCCAGGGCTACACAGAGAAACCCTGTCTCAAACGACAACAACAAGATTACTCGTGATAAGGCCAGATAGAGGCACCTGCTGCCGAGCGTAACAAGCTTGGTTGACTCCCTAGGACCTGTGCAGGAAAATCTCCCATAAGTTGACTTCTGATCACATACACTGTCATGGCAAACATGTGCCCACATATGACATACACACACGCTTACACCCATACATACACATATGTACATACACGCACTCATACATACATGCTTATATACACACGTACATGCACACGTGCTTATAGACACACACACACACGTGCAGACACACATGCATGCACACATATAAACGAATGTAATTTAAAAATGTTAAAAAACGAGTCATGAGGTAGTAATGACCGGCACTGCCAGGTGGCTGCTGGGACAGGCCCTTTCCTTCTCCTTGCCGGGCGCTCCTTGCCGACACCGCCTGGCCTCCCTCCCTCTGCAGAAGGGCACTCTGTTTGAAGCCGATTACTTTCTCCTGGATGGAATCAAGGCCAACGTCATCCTTTGCAGCCAGCAGTACCTGGCCGCCCCTCTGGTCATGCTGAAGCTGCAGCCTGATGGGCAGCTGCTGCCCATAGCCATCCAGGTGAGAGGTGGGGTAGTCCCCAGGGCGGCCTCCCCAGCTGAGCCGCGCTCCAGGTTCTTTCCTGCTTCCTGGCAGTGGCGTTGCCCTAAGGCACCAAGGAGGCAGGAGAGGCAGAGAAGGGTAGGCTTTCACTCTAAGGGTTTGTGGCCTTGCTGGAGAGACAGACTAGTCAGCTTGTGCAAGCTCCAAGGCAGAGGACTGAGCCAGTCCAGGAGGCTCCTGGGAGGAGGGTGGGGAGGATGGGTCTGTCCCCAGAGCTCAGAGCACTAGGTTGAGGAGCCAGGGAGGGCTTTGTGGCTTGCACTGAGATGGAGCTCAGGAGGAAGGTGTGGACAGCTCTTCCTCGTCATCAGTGTTAGAGTGGAGAGAGGAAGGGGCTCCAGCAGGATTAGGTTCTCAGGGGGTGGGAGGTGATGGGTGGGGCAGAGAGGAGATGGAGAGCAGGGCGAGCACCCGCTAGCCTAGAGTCAAGGAGACAGGGAAAGCGGGAGCCAGGCAGGTTCCTCCAGAAACAGGGCGAGCGAAAGGGCAGACTCCCGTAGGCCGTGTTTGGTCCTGGCAATTCTGAATGAGGACGCGTGCAAATCCTCCAACCAGCAGCTGAGACACACACACGCACACCTCCTTTGTGGAGAGGTGGTGTGGAAAGATGAGGAGAGGGCAGGCTGCGTGCACGGGTGTGAGATGGGGAAGCAGGGACCGCCGAGCCCCCACCCGGCGTGCAGCCTCACATCCAGCACTTTTCTCCACGCTCTTACCTTGCACCAGCTTGAACTGCCCCAAACTGGGTCCACCCCACCACCGATTTTCACGCCCACGGACCCCCCGGTGGACTGGCTCTTGGCCAAGTGCTGGGTCCGCAGCTCTGACTTACAGGTGCACGAGCTGCAGGCTCATCTTCTGAGGGGGCATTTGACGGCTGAGGTCTTCGCAGTGGCCACCATGAGGTGCCTGCCCTCCGTGCACCCTGTCTTTAAGGTAACCCTGATTCAGCTCTGCTCTGCCTGCCGATCTCTGCCTACACACATCACTCTTGCCTCCTGAAGGTCTCTTCGGCATCTGGGCTCAGGAAGATGAGACAGGAGGGCGGGGAGGGTCCTTCAGGGAGATCACTTCTCAAGGCAGGATAAAGGTGGTTCCCGGCAAAAGGACGGGAGCTTGCCTTCTTCTTATGTATAGAACATGCATGTACACACAGGACAAACATAGACATGAATGGGTTAATGATTCTGTCCAGTCAGAGGGACCATGCAAGTAACAGCACAGGTCCCTTAAGCAGCTAGCAGGACAGGTCCCTCACGGCGGACTTTGCAGAGTTCTGAAACCAGAGCCCCGAGAGCCAAAGCAGCGTCCTGGAGGCTCAGATTCTTTTGGGTGACCAAGAAAGACTGTTGAAAAGAGAACACAGAGAATGAACGAGCAATTGCCAGGGAGCAGTGACTAGCTGCCTGTGGCACTGGTCAGGCCAAGTGAATTAGCAGGTTGCCGGTGCGGGGGCCAGGGAGCCTCGGCCGCACGTGCCCTCAGAGCCTGGCCATCCTTTCCCTCAGAGCCTGGCCATCCTTTCCCTCAGAGCCTGGCCATCC